ATGATCGGCATAACGCAAAGTTCCTGAACATTTATTTCGATTCTATAAGATCGAAAAAAGGCCACGAACTTTGAAAGGGCAATCCTCGATCGTTCGTATCGAAATAGGAAGATTAGCTGTCTATGATAGGCATCTCTAACAGTGACTTTACTAAAGAGTTTACCTAATGCTAATCGGTTTACAGGGATTACAATGGTATAAACAAGGGATTAACGTCAGTTAACCCGTTTGCACTTGAATGTTTTTCTCAACTAAAGCTTTCAGCAGGTCGGACCTTTTCTTTTTTTTTTTTGACTTTATCAGTGCCCGCATTTATTGTCAATTAATGCCTGAGAATCTTGTACTCCGAGTACAACGTCAAATTTTGTTAATGCCTGTTGAGGAATACTTCGTGCGAGGTCTACTTCCTATGTATATATTTTTTTTTTTCTTTTCCTTCTAACATTTATGTAATTCCTTCTATAATTAATGAATGGCGTTTAGACATAAATATATTATTGACGGAAGATAAACTTGACTTGTTTGTTTATCATCGGGGAACGTATAAATAATGTATTTATACGGAAAAAAAAAATGGATTCTTGGAAATTTTCTTTCTTCCTTTTGATTCTTCTTTTTTTTTGTTTTTATTTGTTTATTCATTCGTTGTTTTTTTCTTTCTTTTCATTTATCTTTGTATTTTTTTTTTCGTTTTTGTTATTTCTTTTTTTCTAAACTACTACGAATTTTTCGAATTATCCAACATAGAATTACCAGCGACAACGACAACGACGACGACGACGACGATGATGATGATGATAATGATGATGATGATGATAGAACAGCACGGTGATTCCTTCCTTCTCGGTGAGTTTAAACAAATGAGCAACCGAGAAAGGATTCATTAATCATTCGACGAGGAAGAAGATGCGGGATCGTTCCGGATCGTTTAAAAGAACGAACCGAAGTCGCGCCCGATATTCATTCTTTATAGATCGTTTGCAAAGAAAGGAACGGTTGATTGTTAGCATAGTAATCGATATACGTAACTGGTCGCTAGTATCCTCGGTTACACGTAAATGATTGAGAAAGAGAGAGAGAGAGAGAGAGAGAGAGAGAGAGAGAGAGAGAGAAAGGTAAGGAAAAAAAATGGAGATGAGAATTTTCAAAGTCGAAGAACCGACCATCGTTCGATAAATCGCGAAAAATATTACGTGAAGAAACTCGCGAGTCGCGCGAGTATCGAATGTAAAAGGCAAAGAAAGAATGATGGTATATGTACCTGCATCAAAAAAAAAAAAAAAAAAAAAAAAAAGAAAGAAAACGAAAGAAAGAAAAAAAAGAAGCCGATCCCAGATCCATAAATTTGTGCTCTTGGGAAAGAAGAATCGAGCCGAACGCTTTACTCCCCATGCCGATTCTATTCGAAGAGAATGACACCCCTGTCATAGTGCGACCTGTTGCGTCTCTGTGGTGAATGATAAAGAGGAAAAGAAAGAAAGAGAGAGAGAGAGAGAGAGAGAAATCGAGAAGAAAAAGCAAAAGTTAAAAAAGGGACACAACGAGAATTTTCTTCGAGGTTGTAAAGATATTCATCAATCGTGAGAAATATCTCGCGTAAAAAGATCATAGTTTTATTATAAATAATATTTTATTATGAATAAATCTGTATTTTTAATGATGTCTATGCACTAGATTTAAATTAACAGAAAAATTCTGTTTTTTAAATAATTAGTTATTAAAACTTGAAAGATTTATTGGATCTGTTTCTCTTTAACAACATTCAATATAATTTATTACGATATAATAATTTATTAAGGTATATTATATTATGGTTCAATAGAGACATTAATTCGTATTTGTAATTGTATCAGCTACTGGCAAATATTATAAATGTATAGATATGACGATAAAATGATAGATATAAACGTAAATGATAGATATAAACATATAGTCATACGGTTGCTGTAATCCCATTTTTCTTTCTTTCTTTTTTTTTATTTTCCATAAATAATTTTGACCTAATTAAATATCGGAAGATTTGAAATTAATACCATTAGAATAAAAATTAAATTTCAAATATTCTTGACCAAAAAAGAAAAAAAAAAAAAAAAAAGAAAAAAAGAAAAAAAAAAGAAAGGAAAGAAAGAAAGAAAAAAAAAACATTTTATAAAAGATATAAATTGATACATACTTTCTTTTAAATCCATATAATATATAATATTTCTAATATTGGCATATCTTATTAAAATTGTCAATTGATTTGCTTAGATATCGATTATCGAACTTGTCTATACTCCTTGTCTTTTTCTATATGCACTTATTTAATTCTCACTCTTACTCTTACTTAGAATTCGTGCAAAATTTCGTTCGTTTTACAAATTGGCTACTCGATGACAACTCATTAGTCTTTGAAGATGAAAAAGGTTCACGATGGAAATTGGAACAAGACCAAGGCCGACTTTGTGTCGGAATGGGAGATACGGTAGTCTTTGACATTGGACCGTTCACGTCTCTGCTGGATACGTATGGTACAAACGAGCCTGTTGAAAGATAAAACCACACAATACACCGCCATTTGCGGTGTCCAAAGAAATATATCTTCTAAGAAAAATCAATGCTATTGCAAAGATCGTCGATAACTTTTTGGAACTTTCCAAGAAATCGCAACGATATCCAATCAAAAAAAAAAAAAAAAAAAATAAATAAAAACGTTTGCAAGATCGTGACATTGAACGTTAATCAATTAATCATTCGTTTTAGAATATTTGTATAAAAAAAAAAAGAAAAAAAAAAAAAAAGTATATTTCCAATTTAAAATACGCTAATCTCATCTTCGAATGATCGAAATATCACGATCGTATTTTTTGAAGGATGACAGCTCGCTAATTATATTTGAATTTGATCATATGCACAAGAATATTTCTTTTAATCTTTTTTAATAAGTTTCACGAGGATACTGATTCGTCGTCATCAAACCCACCGGAGCAATTCTTTTATCTTTAGAGAAGAATTTCGGCGCTTCGCTTGAAACAATAGGGAAGAAAATCTGTTAGGCCCTTCGACCGATGCGATGATTAAAAGCAGCGAGCGCCGAGAAATGTATCCCTTCAAAATGTGGGAATAGAAAGCCACCCAAGGTTTCCACTCAAAAAAGAAAAAAAAAAAAAAAAAAAAAAGAAAAAGAAAAAGAGAACCTCGTTAGGCCAACGATCTCTTTTTCAAAACACTTCGACTTTATCACATTTCACGCAGTTCTCCTTTGATAATTTTTTTAAATAGAACATATATGTAGGTACACAAAAAGATCATTTTAACGGAAGTTGAGTTCGGCAAGACATCAGAAGATTTCATCTAAGCGAATGTGTATCGAGTATCAGTTTCAGACCTAAAATTGACATCGGTATCTTCAAAGTTAACACCCTGCTGTGAGCCCTAAAAATGCCGACAGGGTTGTTCTATCGGTTAACTCGAAAAAGCCGAAATCGTTTCGTCCGAATAAACGAGGCTATTCGCAGAAACTTTTCTTCCCGTCCTCGAACTTAGGGTATCGTAATCGATTACCTTCGATCATTCCAAAGAAGAAACTCTTCCAAATATTCGATAGACGAACTAAACGAATGTGTATCGCTTAGTTTTTTGTGATCGTCGATTTATCTGACCAATAACATGCATACAGATTTGTGGAATGTGAGACGAACGTCTTTTTCAATCTTTTACATAATCTAATTTCTCGATATAATAACATTGGGCGCAGTAAATAAGTAGATAAATCTTTATATAAATATAACACAAATATGTAAGAACAATTTTTATAGATCAATTGAAACTAATCCGTTGTTTATTAGAAAATATTTATTTTATTGTTATTGCAAATGTTCGATAAAATTTTCTTAACGGTTAAAAACTATATCGGATATAAAATACAAAAATTCTCGAAGGAACTAGAGAAATAAGCGTTACAATATACAATGTATTACAAAAATTGTTTTACAATATTATTTCTTATAACTTTAACGTCATTATTAGCTATATCAGGTACCTTTCCTTCCTTAAGTTATTTTAACAAAAGAAAGGTATAGACTAAAATGGCTTTCAATCTATTGATTTTCAATAATGATATTAACGAAATTTCCAATTACAGTAAAAGTAATATATGTGTATTTCTATACTTCTATTTCTTTTATTTGTCAATATTGTCTATATAAAACTGGTCGATATATTAATTTTTATAACTAATTTTATTCGATTTTTGCTATGAATAAATAAATTTTCTCTTATTCAATCTTAAAGTCATACACAATTTTCCCTTTAATTTATTTCTTTCACATGTGCAAATTTGATGTATCTTTAAAAATACGATTAAAATATGATCATATATTCAGAATACGATCGCGTAATATGATAACATTAGATATCAAATGCTATTAAAACCTTCAAATTACATGAGATAAATGATGTAAATCATATATCATAATGAGATAGATGATGTAAATCATCTATCTCATTATAATTATATTATAATACTTAAATATCCAATAATTTTGTAATACATATATACGAGACAGTTATAATCACTAGTGAAGAGATAAGAAGGCGTTGTCATATGATGAAATCATGATCTTGTGTATCAGTAAAATAATATTTACTGATCGAATATGATTAATCGAAATATTGTATTTTTTCTCTTTTTATCATTCTTATCTTCGTGTTTATTCTTTCAAAGAGAGAGAGAGAGAGAGAGAGAGAGAGAGAGAGAGAGAGAGAGAGAGAGAGAGAGAGAGAGAGAAAGGAGAGGAGGATATGGAGAGGAAATATTTTTTTATCATAAGTTAGTTCTCATGAAAATAACGTCGCCTATCAATAGGCGCCTATCAATATATAACCCATTTTACATATGGATATAGAAGTGTGCGGAGATTGCAGGATATAATATCTGAAAGGAATACATTCTTACTAATTGTTTTATATGACAATCTATTTAATTAAAGAATAAAAAAAGAAAAAAGAAATCAAATACCTGTATGTAAAACAATATATCGAGAGAAAAAATAAGAATATATATTTATTCGCTTTTTGAGCGAAACATACTTAATAAGTATATAGGTATAAAGTAACCTTAAAATTATTGAATAAGTAGAAAAAAATTGTGCAAAATATTATTTTTACAGACGAGCAGATTGTTCAGATATGTTTATCGGTACACCAGCTTCGCGTAAAGCTTTGGTCAATTTCTTTCCCAATTCGATGTCAACTTGAGAGAAATTTTTCACCGCTCTTTCGACTATGAACAAGGAAGCATTCTTTAAATGGTTTGCTAGGTTCTCTACCAATCTGGACTTAGCATCGTCATCAAGTACGTTCCTCCAGAATAACGTAGCTTGTCCGAAATCGTCTTCGTCAACTGGCTCGTAACGATCAATATCACCTTTAACGCTAATCGGCGGTGTACGTAGAGCGGGACACTCTTTTGGTCCGGAGAAACTATTGGGATAATAATTAGGTGCACCATCTTGATTGTTTATAGCCATAGCGCCGTCTTTCTGATAATTCATCGTTGATATATTCTATAGATAGAAAACGATATATGTATATCTCTCAATTATACATCAATAGGCAAACAATTTACATTAACACGTAAAACGTTATAAATGATTACCTTGTAAGGACAATTAATAGGCAATTGAAGATGATTCGGACCTAGACGATGTCTTTGCGTATCGCCATAAGCGAAAAGACGACCTTGCAACAATTTATCTGGACTTGGTTCTATACCAGGTATCAAATGAGCCGGATCAAATGCTATCTGTTCCACATCAGAGAAATAATTATTTGGGTTTCGATCTAATACAAATTTACCCACAGGAATCAATGGATATTGGTCGTGAGGCCATATCTGTTTTAATCGAATATCATTCGTTAATATAATATGTTCGAAATAATAAACGAATTCTTAATGATAATGAAAAGTATTATTACTTTTGTAACATCAAACGGATTCCATTTGAAATTCTTTGCTTGTTCCTCGGTCATCACTTGTATGTAAAACATCCAAGATGGATAACGTCCTTTAGCTATAGCATTGTATAGATCTCTGATTGAATAATCCGGATCGGACGAGCTTAATTCTGCCGCTTTATCGACTGAAAGATTTTTAATTCCTTGATTTGTCTGAAAGTAATTAAAAAATTTGTATTTCATATCTTTAATTGAAACTAATGTTAATGTAATAACTCAAAGAAAAAATACCTTATAATGGAATTTACAGTAAACCATATTATTGTAAGCATTCAACATTTTAAACGTATGCGATCCATAACCATTCATGTGACGATAGCCATCCGGAATACCACGATCAGAAAAAAGGAACAGAATCTGATGCGTAGATTCTGGTCTCAATGAAATAAAATCCCAGAACATATCATAGTCCTGGAAAAAGAAAAAAAAAAAATAAAAGAATAGAACACATCGCGGCATATTAATGGTTTTAACAGTGCGTATAAAAAAGTAAATTATTCAAGGAAGAAAGGAAAAAAAAAATGTCCTATCGTGTTCGATCGGATCATTTATCCTCGACAAAAAAAAAAATGAAAACAAGAAATAGCGAAAAAAAAGTTACAATTCCGATCTTTAGTTCATTTTATTCACATTTCTTTCGATTAAATATGATGTTGGATTCAAACTGATCCAGAACGGATCATTGAAACTGTTCGGGTCAACTATATGGATCAAAAATGACTTGAATAATATTATCTTATATCAAATCTTCGATACAAACCTTCAAATGGGTCGCAGGATTTCTCTTCTGTGTATGGATAAAACTCGGGAAAAAAAGAGGATCTTTGATAAAAAATATAGGTGTATTGTTACCAACTAAATCCCATATACCTTCTTCGGTATAAAATTTAATTGCGAATCCACGTGGATCTCTGCAATCGAAAGAAACGTTCGATGAAACAGGAAGGTTCGTTTACTATTTCGAAGCAAATCGACTTCTGTTAATAAAAAAAAAACAAAAAAAAAACAAAAAAAAAATAAATAAATAAAATAAAAAAAAAAAATAAAGAAATTAATTAATAACGATTGCTATTGTTCTCGCTGATCAAGATCGTTGATTCTATCGATGTCAAGAAAAAAAAAAAGTAAAGTATCATTTAATAGCGTCATATTGTAATTACATGAATCATTATTTATATATATATATATTTAACATTCTTTGTTCCATATATAATGATTTTTCTTTTTTGCGAACTCTTAAACATGTACGATGAATTATAAATACTAAATTTAACGATCTATTATACTTGATGATTAACATTGTTATCTTTCGATATATCCGTGGGAAGGCCTTAAGAAATTTTCTCATGGATTGTTCTCTCATGTTTTTTTTCTTTCCAAAACAAAAAAGAAAAAGAAAAAGAAAAGAAAAACTTTATATGTATTTCTCAATTACACATTGTTAATTTTATTGGATATAACATTTGGTTTTTATATTTGATCTTAACAATAGTAGCGTGTGCATTTACCTGACCGTGTCAGCCGAACCACTTTCCCCACCTACGGTAGAAAATCTCACGACAATCGGTATTCTCTCTCCAATCACGGAAAACATTTTTGCTTTGCAATATTTCGTTATATTGTGTGTTACTTCGAAATATCCGTAAGCGCCTTAAAAAAGAATACAATTTATACTTCGATCGATACGTTTCTAATATATTTCATATTTTTAAACGAATCAACTTCAACGATTAATTCATTCGTTATTGAAATACTATTTATATAACAAATGATTATAGGAGAAAATGATTAAACAATTACATTAATATTTTCCATTGTTTTAATCAACCTGAACGTTATTATTTTAGTTTATGTGTTATACTTTTTCTTTCTTCGTTGATTTAAAAAATTTTTTTTTCATTTTTTTGTAGATATATATATTGTTTTTTTTTTTTTTTTTGATTTATCAATCCAATCGTTAATTAACCTTGAGAAGTATATAACTCACCGGCTCCTTTAGCGTGCACCACACGTTCCGGAATTCTTTCTCTTGTAAAATGTGACATCTCATCGAGATAAACATAATCTTGCAACAATATTGGCCCATGTGGTCCGGCCGTAAGACTAGCTGTTTTGTTGGCGATGATAGATCCACTTCCGGTTAATAATAGACTTGGTATACCCTTTTTTCGATAGAAAAAGAAAATGATACAAATAAGTGAACAACAAACAAGCGAGCAAACAAACAAACAAACAAACAAACAAAATAATTATATTTTAATAATATGAATTTTATAAGTATGTCAATTTGTATTATATAAAATTTCTCAATGGAATGGTATCGTTTAAATATTCTTATCTCTCATTCGTATAATTTTCTTATGAATTATCTCATGTAGTTATACAAGCTGAATACAAATTTGACAAATGTTAGTTCATTGGCGTATAAAGACGGATTATTATATGCTCGCTGCATTTCCGTAGAAGAATACTTTAATATCATAAACTACGGAAGTTAGAAACGATTCGAAATCGTAAGATCGTAAAAAAAGAAAAAAAAGCAATGAAAAGAGAAAAGAAGAAAGTTTGGACATTTAATTAATCGTAAAATACATGCTTTACTTTTTTTTTTTTTTTTTTTTTAATTTAATTATACACTTGTTATTTATAAAGAAGTATGTTATTTGGCTATTTTTTTTACGTAGTGCTTAGAGAAAATTAGTTGAATTTAGAAAAAAAAACGTCCTCGATTTTTATAATTCTTTTTCTATCGATTATATATACATGAAAAATGTATTCATACAAATCAAGGACGTATCTTAAATTTTACTTTAAATAGCAAATTTTATTATATATTTCGTAAGAGAAATATTTTATGAATGACAGTTTTATCTAATCAATTTAAAAATTGACTTCATCCGATTATCATCCCACATATCTGCGATATTATTTCATCTGTTTATTTAAAGAATATGCTAATAGATAGATAATTTAAATGAAATTAAATAAGAGAAATCCTACTTTACACGATTGATTCTATTAATTTTTCATAATCGATATCTTATAAAAGTTTTTTTTTCGATGAAATCGTTGAATTTTATTTTTAAGTAGGTAAGCGATAAAGCTAGATAAAAAAGTATTTTTCTCAAGTTCGTAAATAATATATAGAACGTTATTCTACATATTATAAATGAAATACAAAATTGCATTAACACCAATTGCAGATCTGTCTAGAAAATCTAATTATTTATATATAGACATATAATGAAGCAATGACCTAAGTGAAATGAACAAAGAAAAAAAAAAGAAAAAAGAAAAAAATAGCGTATCATGAAAATCTATTATCTGTAGCAACGAGTAACGATGACGAAAATAAATAGGAAAATTACGATGTTAGCTTTACATTCTCTATCTCTTCATCATCGTTGCCATAATCATTATGAATCATATGGTTTAATTTGAGCTCATATTATTTGCAAAATTTTCTACGTAATATTTGTGCTCGATCACGCAACGTATAGACGGAAACTTTCAGTGAAATTCATCATAATCAATTATTTTTAAAAGTTTCTCAATATGTAAAAACGAAATATGGTCTTAAAATAATGTATAATGTTCACACAGTGTGATTTGTAAATGCGAACATATAAATATACATATATATATATATATGTAAATAGATAAAGATACAAAGTCCGTCAAAGCATACTTGTGAGTGCTCGAACTTACATTCAATATATATACACGTATACACATGCGTGAGTGTGTGTGTGTGTGTATACACGTATATACACAGATAGATGTGTATATCTATAAAGTACATAGATACATATAAACATAAATTGTTGGAATATGTTAGCAACATTTCCATAAAATTTATTACGTAAATAAACAAAGTTATTTCGAATCAATATTATCTGTTAAAACTAACTATGAGGTAGAAAAAACGCGATAATCCACTCGCTTAAGTTTTATTGATTTTCTTTTCATGTTATTTTCCTATGAACCTTTTTCTTGATTATCGGATCACCCTGCGATACGAAACGATATTATTTATTCATTTTTACTTTCAAAAAGATATTCCGTTCTCTCGCATGGCAACATACTTCTCACTTCGAATGTAATAATCGCAATCGTTTTTTTCCTTCTGCTTTTTGTTCTATTTCTTTTTTTCTTTTTTTTTCTTTCGTTTTCTTTTTTACTTTCCTTCCCTTTTCTACTTCTGACATAATATTTCATGCGATATAACAATTAGATAAAAATTCAACGTCCGTTGTTGTGAGAGTTCGAATTTATGTATTTATTTATTTATGTTCGTTTATTCAATATACATATGTATACGTATAGAACACATACATACATTCATATTTTCGATCGATAAAAAACAGTCAGCTACATTTTTCTTCCTTAGAAAAAAGAAAAAAAAAAAAAAAAAAAAGAAGAAGAAAAAGAAAAAAACTATTATTATCGTTTCAGTTTTATTAAAATGGAATTTTTCAAAAAAGGAAATAAAGAAAAATAGGGAAGTCGTGAACAATTTTCATATCATTAATTTTTATCTGCGTACGTGACGTAACATAATTAACATAAAACTAAAATATAATACATAATATTTGCATACGTAATAATTGTATTAGGAAATATGTTTAAACTAGATTATGGAGAAATATTTACTACAAAAGATTTTACGTCTGTACAATAATTTTCTGATTTACTGTGAATTTTAATCTCTCTCTCTCTCTCTCTCTCTCTCTCTCTCTCTCTCTCTCTCTCTCTCTCTCTCTCTCTCTCTCTCTCTCTCTCTCTCTCTCTCTCTCTCTCTCTCTCCTCTCTCTCTCTCTCTCTCTCTCTCTCTCTCTCTCTCTCTCTCTCTCTCTCTCTCTCTCTCTCTCTCTCTCTCTCTCTCTCTCTTTCTCTCTCTCTCTCTCTCTTCTCTTTCTCTCTCTCTCTTTTATTCTTTCTATGTTACAAAAATTAAAAAAATACGAAACATAATACATAACTTAGCAAAGAGATATTTTTTTGTACACAAAGTAGATTTATGAAGTATTATCGATTCTTCTTTATCTCATATAAGTATAGTGTTTTTAAGAAATTTATCATATATTTGAAAGAAAGAAAAAAAAAAAGTTACTTAAAGAAATTATATACCAACAAATATTGCTAATTATTTTTTTTCAATTGATGATGGTCCTAATTAAATACGATAAATACATTTATTATTTAATTAAATTGTCGTGTCATAAATATGTATATAGCATATACACCCATTCATATACATACGTAACTCTCTTTCTTTTGTTCTATTTTTAGATATGAAAAAATACTCTAATATTACTGATATGGTGAAGAGAGTTAAAAAGAAGTCATTATCTTAAAGAAAATTATTTAAAGGCTTTTTCAAATATTCACGTTTTATATGACGATGAAAATAAATGTGAACAAGTATGTTCATTCATGTTATCAGTTGAACCGATCAATTGAATAATTGTATAATTTTTAATTTATAACAAGATACGTGTTAAATGCAAACAAAATCTACAAATAATTTCAATTTTATTCGATTACGCGTGCAATTACCGCGGTGCATTTCTAAGATCGAACAAATTCATAAAAGATATTATGTCCAACGCGGAAGTAAATAAATATAAACAAAGTAAATAAACATCAGTGTGTGCGATGCAAGATGTAATAATATATCTATATGTATTAACGTGAACTAAATCGTAGACGTAGTCGTATGTATCTATTCGACGTCCTACACGGAATCGTCCAAGTTCTAATTTTCTCTTTTTATCGTGACATATCGCATATGTATATATATATACATTTATATATATTGTATATTGTATAATATATGTATGTACATATATATGTATGTTATATATATATATATATACATATGTACATACATATATTATACAATATAACAAGTATTCATTAGTCCAACGAGATGGAGTAAATCTTACGAAACGTAAAAGAGAGATGAGAAGAAAAAAAAAAGAAAAAGAAGTGGAAGGGAAAATAAAGAAAGTAAAAAGAAAGAGTGAGAGTGAGAGTGAGTGAAAGAGAAAGAGAAAGAGATATATATATATATAGAGAGAGAGAAAGAGAGAGAGAAAAAGAGAGAGAGAGACGCTAAGAAACTAGACGTTAGGAAAAATGGAGGTCATATCTGAAAGACAAAGAAAATAAAAATTGTAGAAAACAACAACTTAATGATCATGAAGAGGATACATTTTTTATAAATCGAAGAGTGAAAATTTGAATTCATTTAGCATGGTACCTTTAAATTTTTCTTATAATTATTGAGTTGTTCCGAAGCAGGATCTCTTTTCTTGGCTTCCATTTTATCGTCCTTCGAATCTTCGCAGGATTTATCGGTTGTATAATATCGATGAGATCGTTCAAGTGATGTTGTAATGCAAAATTGTTTTCTAGTGAGAAACGTATTACCGAACGACCAACGTTCTTCGCGATACCAAGAACGAAAACTGACTGGCAACGATGACAACGTGTTTTTATCACCTACGTCGCCACGCGATTGGTAGAAAAATGAGGGAGCAACCTGACGCCATAACACGCAACATATTCTCGGGAGGGCGCGAACGAATGATACAAAGTTATTATTTAGCATTCGGTCAATTAATTTTTCTTTTTGCTTAATCTTTTTCTCTATCTTTGTCTTTTTCCTTTTTTTTTTGTTTCAATAATCACGCCATCCTTCTTCGTTTTGTTACGATTTTTTCGACGGCATTCGACCGTGTCTCCATCTTTTTTCTTTCGTTGGAGCGTTCTTTCAGATTAAATTTTTTTTTTCCCCGGTTTTTCCTCTCCCCTTTTTCTTTTCCTTTTTCTTTTATTTTTTTGTTTTTTGCCCCTACAATCGAGGACGAATCTTTCAGTTTTCGTTATTATGTTTTTCGTTTTATTTCGAAGGCTGTTGAAAATGAAAAATTTACTCGATCATTCCGATAATATTTATTTCAAATATTCAAAAAATTGCGAATCAATTCAAAATTCGATGAAGATACGAAGATATAAGTTAATCCGGTGAGAGAAAAAAAAAGAGAGAGAGAGAAAGAGAGAGAGAAAGACTAGAAAAGATTTTTTGATAATAATTGAAATCAATTATTCGATGATATTGATATAAATAAATGTAAATAAGTTTGCAAATTGGATTTGATTAGAAAAAAAATGAAATTTACGAATCAATAATAAAGAATTTATATAATTCCTTACTCTCATACACGATCTATGTAATTATATATAATCCATATAGAATGTTATCAATGCGGTTATCACGATTTTATTTATTGTTTTTTTTTTCTTTTAGAGCTTTTAACCACTTGGTAATATATCAAATACGTATTATCTTTAACATGATAAATATACATATACATAACCTAACCTTGTCATTTAATATTACTTATGTGTTTTTTAGTTCTTTTGTTCTATCTTTTCGCTCGATCGAGCAGATATTTTTTCAATAATGAATTTTATTGCTTTTATTGAAGTTAGGCAAGAAAAATTCTCGATCGGTTCCGTTAGATTCATTGTTGAAATCGAAAAGAAAAAATTAATAAATAAATACATTTTTTTTTACCTTTTTTTGTTTTTTTTCTTTCATATTTTGCGAAGGACAAATACGAGAGAAGCTATGAGAAAAGACATAAAACAAAAAAAGAAAAAAAAAAAAAAAAAAAAAAAAACAAAAATAAAAAAAAAAAAAAAAAGTATGCACATTTTTATTTTTGCAACTCTTTATTAATGTCGTTGCAGCTTCAGCTGAGCCAGGTACAGATCTGAGCTCGTTATTATAAGCGAGCTCTCACAGTTACGCACAATCTTCATCCTCTTAATCGTCGCGTTCGCGATAATAACGTAGGCAATTATAAAATTTCATAAGTTTTAAATGGCTGTGAATAGAGCTCAAGAAAAAATAAAAGTAATTACTAAAAAGATTTCACCTTCAGTCGATCCTAACGTCTAACTTGTTTATAGAAACGAGAATTTGAACGTTGAATCACTGACAACGCAAACAAAGAAAAATATAGATAGATAGATAGGTAGATAGATAGGTAGGTAGATAGATGGGTAGATACATAGGTAGATAGATAGATAGATAAATAGACAGACATAACAAATAGATCCATGTCTTTGGTAATATACGTATGTATATTGAAGAGAACGTAAAGCTTTAAAAGACGGAAAGAAAGAATTTTCTTATTGAAATTATAATTCATTATTTCCGTCAATAAATAATTAAATAATTACGTTCCTATTTGCGCTATAAAAATGGTTATAATATTTACATAATTGGCTGATTTAAATCCGTCGAAATTATGAACAATCGTAAAAGACGATTTTGTGAAGTTCATTCGCAAATAATAACAAATGGATTATATATGATGTATATTTTCTTTCGTTTTTTTTTTCTTTTCTTCTTCTTCCTCCTTCTTTCTTCTTCTTCTTCTTTTTCTTCGTTTTTTCTTTTCTTTTTTTTTTTTTTTTTGTAGAAGTAAAATGAATTAAAAGACGCAGTAAATTATAATTCTATAACTAAATTCTGCCTGAGTTAATTGCACCACTTATCCCATTTGACTTTTATAGTGAAACAATGCTTAGAACAAATGCGATATATGAATAACTATGTCACGGCAATATTTCCAAATTCATTAGATTTTATTTCTTATTGTTTGTTCGTCGCATCGATTTATGGCAAGAACATTATAACTTTAGTGCCCTTTTAATGCCCAACGTTTTTTTTTTTCCCTTTTTAATTCTATCTAATGTGATATTTTTTTTTTTTTTAACGTGATTACCCAGTTACTTATTTCATATACATTTAACAACATATAATTCCTTATATGAAATAACTTATGTGAAATAAAAATCGACGTTATTCCGTGATAAGTGCATACGATTATTAGAATAATTCGATTCAACTACAACAGATTAGGAAATGCCGAAACATATTGGGATAAGCATTTAATTCTAAGAACATCTCGAAATTTATAAAATTTGTTTAAGTTACTTCAAATTCAGTAAATATATATATATATATATATAATATATATATATTTTTTTCCTTCTCCTTCCTCCTAGATTACTCAACGTAGAAGCAGAGTAAATGCAATACATGCAGAGATCTTATATGTTTATCGCAAAATGTTACTTATTATTGTTTAAAACGCTTTTCCTTATACTGCTGTACGAAACCATATTATTTTTAAAGTTATATTACGATCGCATATTTTTTTTTTCTTTTTCTTTCATGAATCAACAAATATCATTCATTGACTTTTTGTTTGTTTCCAACATATGGGGATTTGTTGATCAAACATTATTGAGACATAAGCTATCCGTGCACCATGATGAAGTTGTCTTCCCATTTCATAGGCTAACTGGGCATCGGTATCGGACACTGGACTTGCCAAACGATAAGATGACTTTGTTCACCATGTTCGTCAGCATTGGCTGCTATTATAGCATTAGACCGTTCGATACTCTCTTCTGTTTCTTCTCCATCACCTAAAAATTTGGTAAATATTTCGTGTGACAATTAATTAACTTCTTTCTTTTATAATATATAAGGAAAGTGCAAATATCAGTTTTCGTTCATATAATACAATAAATACATGTCAGCTGGAAAGGACCACCCCCAGAGAATAAAGGCAACAGATATATAATTGATCCTATACAGTTCTTTACAAAAAAATAGTGATAATAATTTTTTTTTTAAAGTGAAGCCAACAGATTTTGCTATACGTTTATAAGCAATTTATCATGACGTTTAAAATTTATGAAAAATCATTTATAATACAACACACTTTTTAATCGGTAATGGATAAATATGAAGCCAGCCAGTCAAATGTTAGTCAAATTTCGTTATATAGTGCAACAGAAGAAAGGAATGTTCTGTTAGTATAGGTCTTCGTAACCGAGGGTTATTAATACGAATATTAACATATGCTGAAATAAAAATATTTTCTTTTTTTTGTTTTATTTTTTCATTATTTTCCTTTTTTTCTTTTTTTTTTGCTTTTTTTCTATCTCTGGGGGCATACCTGACCAATTGCCAAACTATTAGATGAGTTGCCACATCACTTTCGTCTTCTGCTTCTTCTGCTAAAATTGTCACCATCACACATTACATTTTGACATACTTATGATAGTTAAAAAAGACTTACGTTATTATATGTTAAGTACATGATAAATCTGGTAATGCTTACTTACCGACTCTAAAATCAATGTAACCTTCGCCCCCTGATAATACAAGCATCGCAGGCTGTGAACCATCGGTTGCTGCACTTTGACCACCGTGGCCTAAAAGATTTATGTATTAAAAAATTTTTAATTTAACAACGCCATAATACGTAAACTTACCAGGTACGGCGACAAACATTTTTACGGCATCTCTGTGCCCATGAAAACTTAGTTGGGCATGAGCCATACTACAATACGGTATAAAGCTTCCAACTGCAACACCTCGTTCCGATGCAAAGACTCTAACACCAATTCCTGGTGCATCACCTTTATTAGCTCCCGTTTGAACTCTGGATACTGCCATTGAACCGCCTGCACCTATAAAAATTGTATGTAATATGATATATAAATAGATCATATAAATACAACGTATTAATCTATAAAAAGATTATTTTTATATAAACGCACTTTCGGATAGTGGTACTGAAATTATCACTCCATTTCCAGTACCAATCCACAACCTATTTGAGGAAATTAATAAAGCTGTGATTCGTACAAAAGAAAATCCGAGTTTCCCTGTTCCCAGCATTTTACTGACATAAGGTTCTATATCAACATCTTGTAGATGTTGATAAGTATGTGCATGATAGAGTCTTAATGTTGAATCCAATCGAATGCTAACCCAAACGCCCTCGCCTAGCCATGCCAATTGTCTCACTTGTGACTCTCTTCTAGGATGAGCATCGACAGTGCACTGAAACATTGCATTATTTTATACATTTATTTATTCTTCATTAAATAAAACAAATTGTTTCAAAATGCTTACTTCAACAGTCATTCTAATAGGATCTATCACATGGATTTTGTTTCTATATCCACACCATACTGTTTTTCCACTGACAGCGGTCATACATCTGATCGAGTGTTGTGGGCTTCCTAAAGTAATAACATGATACTGAGAAAGGTCCCATTGACCATCTGGGCCCCTTCGGAACAAAGCTACAGTTCCATCGGCCAAAGCAACTAAAACGCGGCCTTGAACGTGCCTATAAAAAAAAAAAAAAAAAAAAAAAAAAAAAAAAAAAAAAAATAAAAAAAAAATAGTTTGATTATAAGCAAATTATATAGGTAATTTTATCACATGTAAATAATATACAAGAAATATTTAATACTTTACATACACGATAGCCACAGCCGCATCCTTTAATTTTACAAAATGCAAGCAAACAGACCATTTGGCAACAGCCGAGTGTACAAAAACAGCACCATTTTGAGCTCCCAGCCACATAGTTGGTTGTATTGATGACATTTTTTCGATAGGTGTACTTTCCTCTATTTCCTTATTTTCGTCTTCCTCGTTCTTATCTTCTTTGCAATTTAATTCATCGTTCACTACTTCTGAATTGCATTTAATAAAATAAATCTTTCCTAAATTTGCTGTTTCGCTATCTACACTTTCCAAACTTTGGGGTCCGGCACTCGAACTCTGATCCGTATCTTTTGTTTTTTCTACAGTTTCATTACTTTGTTCTTCGACAGAATTACCATTCTCCTGTTTATTGTTCTCGATAGAAGTCGCTTCTTGGATTTTTTTCTGTTCGTTCTGATCAATATGTTCGATTATGACCGATTCATCATGATTACTATCTATGTTATCACCATTTTTATTATTAAGTTTATATGTCGAATTCTCCTTCAAGTTTTTAGGATAATCACTTTCCATGGCACCAGGTACACTAGCAATGGAAAGTAAATGTCCTTGACAAACACTGAAAACCTCTAAAATATCTGCTGGATTATTGGCATCTATAACTGTAACTTTTGACATCTTTTGAGTCGATGTGCAAATCCAGACCAAGGAACTAAGTTTCTGTTCCAATTGTTCTGCCTCCAATCTACGTTGTTCATTTTCTTGAAGTTCATTGTCTAAATGTTCAACCGCATCTTCAGCTTCTGTTTTAGTTGTATTTGTTTCTGATGCTTCAGCTGCATAAAATACACTTCCTCCAATCATACAACCACCATCTGGTGTTTTGCCTCCAGTTAGATTTACACCAGCTCCACACCAAATCTATATAAAGAAAGTTTGTTAATGTTTCGAAAATCTGAACAAGAAAAAAAAAAATGAAAAAAGAAACAATAAATTCTTTATTAAATATTAAAACAGTATACTTACTTTCATTCCTGGTTCTGTTTCTTGAAGAGGCCTACAATATACTGGTACTGGTACAGGTTGTCTTACTGGTGCTATTGGTTTTCCTGGCAAACTCCATCCATAAGCTTGTAATCGACCGTCTTCTTTTCTAACGTGTGCCCTGACTTGACGATATTGTTCTCTTCGTTCGTTTGCTCGGCGTGCTACGAGCTTTTCAGAAGATCTGTAAAGTACGTTTTAAATGCACAATATATTTATTTTAAATGTAACAATTTAAACAAGCGTAATGCAAGGGAATGAGGAATTGAATGATTTAAAATGTCTAATTTCAGATTTGTTGTCTTCAAATATCTGGTCTTACCAAGATTCATTTTATTACTAATATTTCTTCCTATGTTTTATGTTGAAATACTTTTAGTATTTCAATATTATACATTATTTTTATGTGAGCATGTCCCAATTTTTTTCATTCCTTATTTGAACGAATTTTAAAATTAAAGAAAAAATGAAAGAAAATATTCTCTTGGAATCATTATTCATGCCAAGGACCATCTCTCACAAAATCAGAATACAGGTGTCAAAGCAGAAAAGTTAGGAATATAGCAGAACAGATTTACCTGCTGACCAATAAGCACCCCAATGAAAGCCAGAAAAACCAGGAATCTCTTGATAACGCCATGAAGGTGAGGCAAGAAAACCCGAATAATGAGACAAAAGCGAAGTAACGACATCGAAATAAAAGCCAAGTTTAACATACTCATAACTTCATTTATTCATCGATCAATAATGATCGAATATATTATCAGTTTTCCAAAAAATATACAAACTCTTATTTACAAAACTACAGCTTTTCAAGCATATTTCAGAAAGGTAACAGTCAATTTATCTCATTAGTTATTATACTTTTATCATTTGCAAGTTATTTTATTAAATGTAAATCACATAAAAATCGGTATATGTACTTTACAAATATGTTACTTGTATATGAAGACTAGGAAATTAGACTTTAGAGAAGGGATAAAATATAGCAAACAGAGAGAGAGAAAAAAAGTAATATATGTACGAAATATAAAACTCTTTCGTATAAAACCATTGATATCTTAAGTCAAAATTTATTTCAAAAATTTATTGCTCAAGATAATTAATCAATGAATGTAAAAGGGGAAATGGAACACGATAATGTGTTAGCAGCAATAGTACGTTCAAATTGGTCAGTTTAAATTCTAAATTATGCAAAGAAGACTCACGTCTTTTAAGAGCAATCAAGACTATTTGTAAGAGGTAAGAAAACATTATGGATCCCAACAGACCAAAGAGGATTCTAATCTGGAAAGATGACCGCAATTCATTCTATAATAATTATTTCCCATTTAGAAGAGATTATTTTTCCAAAAACTTTTATAAAAAAGAATTTTACTAAAAGTAATTATTATGGCAGCTTTGATATATAACAGTATCAAAGTATATATATATATATATGGTGTATATGTGTATGTGTATATATATGTATATGTATATACATATCTGTATATACATATACATGTATATATATTCATAAATATATGTATATATATATATATTATATCTATATATAAATTAAGCTCCATAATTGTGTGCATTTGCACTAAAAACTTTCATTGCGCGATAAATCACAGATTAAGATTGATGTTTTATGATGTATAAAGCTCAATACTCAATAAATAAATTTGTATCTAAATAACAGATAAAAATCAGGCAGGCTGTGATGTCAGATTGACATAACATCAAGGTGCATGTATATAGAATAGGATTGATTTCTCACATGGTGTCTCCTTGGTCGAGAAAGTCATGGCGATTTTTCAACGTGTGTTTACGCATGGTGCTCACGGCTGGAACAACTTGATTCGTTGGTGCACTATAGCGAATATGAGGTAAGGTATGTGTTCCACGAACTAAATTCCCACGATCAGTTGTTGTGAAGAGACTGCTAAAACTACAAAGAAAAAAGACGAAAAGATTCATTGTTTTCTTATCTCTTATTATACATATTTATATTGATCTTTTATTTATTTGATACTAACAACTTCCAAAATTGTGAACCTTTTCCTCCTGATGTATTGGAAGGATCAATTTTATTTGCTCTAATTATTTCAGTCCACCTAACAGCTTCTTGAAGTTCCATAAATCTTTCCTTATATTGATTTCTTTCCATGAGAACTCTGGCCATTTCCACTCTTGTAAATCTTTTTCTTTGAGCTAAAGGCACGTCCTCTTCGTCATCGCTCTTCGCTGCTTTTGCGACAGCCTCAGCATCCTCTTTCACTTTCTTTAATTCTTCTTCAAGTGCCGCAACACGTTGACGTAAGCGATCCTTAGTTTGCTGCAAACCACGAACTTCCTCGCGTAATATTTCTTGCTCGCTGAAGTAAGTAAATGATTAGTTGAAGAAAAAATAAATAAAAAAATCAAAAGTTAAAATAATCTAAATTAATTACCTAGTCAGTTCATCCACTTTAACTATTAAATCATCTTTAACTACGTTAAGGGCATTCCTGAAAGATAAAATGCAATAATGAAACCATTGTTTTCTATTAAATTATTTTCTTTTTCAATAATATAAGATAGCTTACTTTGTAGCTAGTAATTCATTATTTTCCATAATAAGATTTTCCACTTCTTTTCCCATTCCTAAAGAGTACAAAATATTATTTCAAGTATGAATATATATTATATATTAGTCTACATATAAAATTTAATATTATAAAAAAGCGTTTAGTAAAAATACTACATAATATTGTGTTAATGAAAGAAACTTTTAACATATAAATAATTCTTCCTAATATATCTTTCTAAATGTGAATATAAGATAGATAAAAAAGATAAATAGCTTACCATAAAAGTTGTCATTGACTGCGTGATTAGATTATATATTGCATGCATCATTCATCAGAGTTTCAGTAGAAGTCAGCATAGTGTGAAAAGGCAAGCGATGGATGAAACATCCAGACATATTAGGAAATAATACTTCTATTATTAAAGTTCTTAATTAGAGTAGAAAGTTTGAAAATGAATCTTATGTCCTTTAAATGATATAGATTTGAGTAAGTTATTTACTTTGATAAAATTATAATCATCTTTATATTGTTTCATAGTGTAAATGTGTTATCAGAACATGAAAATGCCTTATAGTTAAAGAGCTTTGATACTTTACTATTGTTAGAATTTAGATAATGAATAAACACACATAACCAAATTTATATTGATTTGTAATCTTTTCGTTAAACGTACCCGATGATGCATATTCACCAGGATGGACCCAACTACCTATAATTATAACAATCACAAGTTAATTACAAATATGTATTATGAATATAAAATTCGACAATTTATATGCGTTTTTACCTGTGATATCTGCACCTTCATCCATTTCACCTAATGCATCTGCATCTTGGAAACTAAGTTCCTGATATAATGTATTGCCACTTCTTTGTTCTCTTTCAGTTTTACTTCTACCACCACTTGGTGTTGTAGCTAATTTCTCCATTCCACTTGGTGTCGTCGGTGTTATCAGTGGTGGTGGCAATTCAGTCTCAGGACTTTCATCTATAATTAAATGATAACAAAAAAAAAGGTGTGTGTGTGTGTATATATATTTATATATATATATATAATAAAAACAAAATAATCTATTTCAAATATTATGATAACATACGTCTGGAAATTGCAGTAGTCTTATTTTCTTGTTCAGGCTGATCTGTTAATTGACTTTTATCAGAGGTTTCTATTGCAGCTTCACTACTACTATCCAACATTTCAGTTCTTAAATTTGCAGCATTTGGTGGGCTTTCATCTTGAGGTTCTTCTGCATTTATACTTGCTTCTAAACTTTGAAATCCATAACTTAAAGGACCAGAACTTCTTGACATGTGAGCTAAACCAAGAGAAGGCAATCTTGATGGACCACGACCACCAGTTGCATTTTCTAATCTTTCCGTACTACCAACCAACATTTTTGTTCTTTCCATATAATCTACATGTGTCTTAAATAATTCTGTATATCTGTCATGTAGGCGGGCGTATTCACGTTTTAGCTCTGTTTCCTTTTCTTCGAGACGAACAACTAAAGCAGAAATAAAATATTGTTAAAGAATAATATATAAAGACTGATTGATAAAAGGACAAAACACATTGCTGTTCTCTACTATAGGATGTAAAAAAAGAAATTCTTATATAAATAAAATATAATATAAAATAAAATTAACTATCAACTACTTTATTAATGACGATAATAAATTATATACAATAACGAAGAAATATAAAGAGTACTTTAGAAATAACATAATAGGATAAAAATCATGCAATGTAAATAAAAGAATATACATAAAAACGTATGATATGAAGTATTTATCAATTGATCCAAATACCATGAGATCTATAATCCATTGTAAAATCATATATATGATGAAAACAAAAAGAAAAAAAAAAGAATTATTCTACTCTACTGTGAAAAGATGTGCTAAGAGAGGATGTACTGGAAGAACCATTGGCAATTGTACCGTGATCTTGCGAATTCTTTGTTTTCAGCTCCAACATTCTTACAATTGACTCTAAACTGTCAATTCTTGATAATAATTCTTTCCTTTCATCTTCTGCAACATCTTCTTGCTCGAGCAATTTCTGATGAACAATAAAAAATTTCTCATTTTTTAAATAGCAATACGCACACATTTTGTAATAAAAAAATAATAGCATTCGTTAAGAACAGGAAATAAAAATAAAATTAGAAAAAGAATTTTACCTGATCAGACGTTTTCCTCAATTGCTTTTCTCTCTCATATTGTGTAACTAGCTGTTCGTTATCCTCCCTTAATAATTCTAATTCAACTTCGCGTTCTTGATTTTCTGTATAGGATACATCTAAACATTCTAAAACATTGACTAGCAAAGGCATTAGGTCTTTGACTACATCTTCGTCATATCTTGCAATCATCTTTTCAAATTCTTGATAAATACTGCCTGCCAAGGACTGTACTTTTTCAGACATGACAACATGACTGTCTTCGTGCGTACCATATACTGTTTCTTGATCCATCTTTATTGTATTATATAAAATCTATGGAAAAAAGAAAAAAAAAAGAAAAATGTATTCATTTAATTTGTTATATCCTTAACAAGCATATATCATATTTTTATTTTCTATGACCATTTTAATGATTATAAATATTGACAAATAAGATCATTGACATTTCATTGATATTAGACAAAAATTGCAAGGAAAAGAAAAAGAAAAGTGGGGGGGGAAAAAAAAAGTGAAAAAAAATTAATCCATTTACCTAAAATCTAGGCAAGTATACCTATTATCGTGATAATAAAATATATAAATATAATCGTCGTATTATTCTGCTCTGCATTTTGTACGTGTATCGAGCTCTCATCGGAGATCTGCTAAAAAAACATGTAAATGATACGATTTGTTAAATAAATAAATGATGATATTATGTAATTAAAAAAAAAAAATAAAAAAAAATAAAAAATAAAAAAAAATAAAAAATAAAAAATAAAATAAAAGGAAAGAAGAAAAAGAAAAAGGAATAAAAATATTGGATGAAGATCGCGCTCCTCGGCACTCCTAAAATCGAATATCTTAAAAGAAAGTTTACATCTGTGACCGTGGTAAACGTCAGAAACGATTTTATAACCTTTCTCGTAGACGCACCTGACGTTTCCGATGAATGAAATGATCGTTGGAATAAAATTAAATCAGATCACAACGAAGTACAATGCGAAGTCATTGGATCCTTCGATACATTGCCCATTGCGTTAACATTTATTTGATATATGTCATTCGAGAGAGATAACCCTCTTTAAGAAAGTAATAGTTATGCTCCTTGCCCCACGAAGTCGCTCGATTCGTATGAATTGTTTTATGACGTTTCGCAATCACCGTCCTGGTAATAACTTTTTATTTGCGATGTAAGTTTCACTCGTTTTTCTAGAAAAGCAAATAATACATTGGACGCGATACGTGTTACGACGATAAAAAGAAAGAAAAAATTTATTCGTTCATTAAGTAACGTCACAGACGCAAAATTTACCGAGCTCTTTTCTCGCTGTCAATTCCTTTGACTTTGTTGGTCGTTCTCAATCACGAATATTCGCCATTTTTTTTTCGTTCTTTTCCACCACAACCGAATTTTACTATATACGACTGTTCCTCAATGTGTTCACAAATAGATCCTAAAATTGCACTCGGTCAAATGCAAGCAAATACGTGACCTCGTCCGTTAGATGGCTTTGGCATCGTTCCATTGTCACGGGGAAAAAAAAAAAAAAAAAAAAAAAGAAAAAAAAAAGAAAGAAAATATCTTCTTATTTCAGAAAGAAAAGCGATGAAAATATACCGAGGATTTATGAAATATTATCTCGTACGAATTCTAGTTTTTTCTTATTCTTTCATTTTCTTATTTTTAATTCATCCTTATTATTTAATATACAGGTTATGTATACAAACGTATTATATATATTTTGTCGCACTGCTGTTTTATCTATATCGCTATAACATCGTCGAGATAGTATAAGAAGGAGAAATAGAATCAATGAAATAAACCTTAGGGCTGATACAAATTATATTTTTGCACATTGAAGATATCTCCTTTTCCTTTCTTTCTCTTTGTAGAATTACATTTTCTGTAGGTTCTAGAACTATAGTCAAAAGAATAAAGGGATAATATCTATAGTTTGAATTAATTTTAATGCAGCCCGCGCATTGTGATATTGTACGCTATTGGTGCTGCGTTATATCCTTTAACCAATTAGCGTTGACCATTATATACCACCAATTGCGCAGTGATAGTGTTACATATATTATAGCAAATCTTACTGCATATATATATGTACATCGCTGCATGGACACAGTAAATGGTCGACATGTTTCATCGGCGAAGTGGTCATCGTGTAACTTTAACAAATAATAATTGTACCGCAATTCGAAATTATTCCGAATATAACTATGGATTGGTACTTAGTGCTATGCCTCTTAAGGATGATGAGATGTTCGAAGTTCGTATTGATAAAAAGGTATGAATTCATACTATTGTTGTTTGCAAATCAATTTTTGGTATACTAATAAAGATCTGGATCTGTCAAATGTCGCATGTGTTTATATTTTATATTTTGTTAAGTGTTATCTTTTCACGAACAATTTACGTGAGTATTGGAAATAGTAGTCGAAATTTTATTGTAAATATTGTTAAATTTTTTTCATAAAATATTAAAAATATTTGTTTAATGACAGATGATATCATGGAGCGGTAGTATAGAGATTGGAGTGACAGAATGTGATCCTGAAACTGTGGAATTACCTGCTTGTGCTACAAATCTTCGCCATGGATCTTGGATTATGACTAGTTCTGGCATAGTGCACGATGGTGAACGAATAATAGAGATATACGGTACAGATCTTAGTAGTCTGGATGTGGGAAGTACTTTAGGTGTAATGAGAACCTCTAATGTATGTTCTTTTTTATTTAATGATTCTGAGCATGCAAGGAATGTTTTGTTATTTATTTTCTTTTAATTACAGCACGAGCTGGTATTTTACATTAATGGGGTTTCTCAAGGCATTGCGGTAACCAACATTCCAGAGCGTTTATTTGCAGTTATAGACATGTATGGAGATTGTGTTCAAGTTACCATTACTCATCCACGACTTCTACCTATTAGTAATGAAGTAAAGGATGAGGTTGAAATTAATAATGATTACCCTCTTGGTGGATCATCCAATTCATCTACAACTAATCTAGTCGCTAACTTGAATGTTAATTTAAATGTTAATGTAAATGTTAGTTTACCGAAAAATCCAAGCCCTGCTGCTATTAGGGAAGATCGTTTAAGGTTTCATGAAAGAGTAGGGGCGCTTGTGAAATTATCTAATAATGCAAGAACAGCTGAAAGGCGGAGACCAATCGATGAATTTAATAATGGCGTTGTTATGACACATAGGCCATTAAGAGATAATGAACTTTTTGAGGTAAGCTTATATAGAAATATGATATTTAAAAAAAAGAAGAAGATATTAATGAAATATGTAAGAAATAATGATTCTTTGATTGTAGATACGTATAGATAGACTTGTTTACAAATGGTCTGGTAGTATAGAAGTTGGAGTTACAACGCATAGTCCTACTGCATTAGAATTTCCAGCAACAATGACCAATATGCGATCTGGTACAACAATGATGTCTGGGTGTGGTATTTTAACCAATGGAAAAGGCACTCAACGTGAATATGGAGAATTCAATTTAGATGAGCTTAGAGTAAGTTTTAACTTAAAAGTACCTTTACTATAAGATATTATTATATTTATTTATTTAGGAAGGAGACAGAGTAGGAATGATAAGAAAAAGTAATGGAAATCTCCACTATTTAATTAATGGGCTTGATCAAGGAGTTGCTGCCAAAGTACCAGCAGGTGTATGGGGTGTCATTGACCTTTATGGAATGACTGTAAAGGTGACCATTGTCGATCGAGATGAAAGGGAAGAACAGAACTTAGTCACGCGACGAAATACTTTGCAGTTACAAGGATTGAACGGTAAGGACAGCAGTGTCCTTGTTTTATGATTTATGTAATATCCTTAATTGGTTCTCCTACCACCATAGTTTTGATGGGATACATATAAACGTGCATTCATTTATCAACGAGGAAGACAATTTATACATTCCTTTGTAGAACCAGAAGAAGAACCACCAGATAGACTCATGTTTCATTCTTGTTGTGGAACACATGCTGAAGTAATTAATAACGGACGTACAGCACACAGGCCTAAGTAATTAATTCATGAGTTTATTTCTTTCATTGAGAAAACTAGACAACTATTTTATAATTATCTTCTTTGTAGTGCCATAGATGACTTCAATAATGGAGTAGTATTAACCTCACGACCGTTAAAACCGAATGAATTATTTGAAGTGAAATTAGATAAAATCGTTTCTAAATGGGCAGGTTCTATAGAAATAGGTGTAACAACACATTCACCAACAGAACTGGAATTTCCTTACACAATGACTAATGTTAGGTATATGTATTTACAAATAATATCATGGCTGTGTGTTAATTTTATTATATTCGTTTATATACATATAAATAAATATCAAGATTATCATGTGCCTTATTATTTGAAATTATTCATGTCTATTACAGATCAGGTACTTGGATGATGACAGGAAATGGAGTGATGCATAATGGAACAACTATGATAGATCAATATGGACAAAATTTAGATCGATTACAGGTTGGCGATCGTGTAGGAGTTATGAGGAAAGATAATGCTACATTACATTTTTATGTAAATGGTGCAGATCAAGGTGCTGCTGCAATGAGTGTACCAGAAAGAGTTTATGGTGTTATAGATTTGTATGGGCAAGCTGCACAAGCAACTATAGTAGATACTGCAGATTTCTATAGCCCAACAACAAATAATTCTAGTTTCAGTAATACAACTTTGTACAGGTTTGTTATTTTCTATATTCACATATCGAATATTTATTTCTAATATGTAAATACATAGTATAAAGGCAGAATATATAACTAGTATATATTAATTTTATTTTTACTTTAATAGTGATTTGAGATTTCACTATGTACATGGAAAAAATGCACGTATTACAAATAATGGTTTAACAGCATCCAGACCAAGAGCTTTAGGTGAATTCAATGAAGCTATAGTTATTGCAAATCGGGCTTTACGTGATGGTGAAATGTTCGAAGTAACCATTGATAAAATGGTAGATAGGTGGTCTGGAGCTATTGAAGCAGGTAATCTTTATAATAATATAGAAGCTTTTAATTGTTCATTTTATAAATTTAAATTTGAGTATCATAAAAGTGTAGCTGCCTTCCTTGTATTAATATTAGGAAAATCTCCCAGGGGTTACACTTATCAGACCAGATGAACTGGAATTTCCATCTACAATGACGGATATCGATCATGATACTTGGATGCTTTCTGGTTCTGCTGTAATACGAGATGGCATTACATTGCGTAACAATTATGCATGTGATTTAGATAAATTAGTGGAAGGAAATCGTATTGGTATGATGCGATGTTCAGACACAAGTTTACATTATTATTTAGATGGTGTAGATCAAGGTCCAGCATGTACAGGCTTACCTTTACACGTTTATCCTGTGATAAATTTATATGGTCAATGTGCACAGGTATAATATTAAAATGAGTCATATAAAAATTATCTAAATGAAGGAAAAACAAAGGGGGATGGAGGAAAGAGAAGAAAAAAAGAAAAAACTTTATATTTTTCCTTAGGTTACAATTGTACTGCCAGAACGTAGAGATCCATTAACACAGCAATACATTCCTTCAGAAAATAGTACCAGTCAGCAGCCTACATCTGTAATTCAACCGCAAGCTCAAACAGAAGTTTTACATAAATTTCACACGTCTGTTGGTTCAAATATTCAATTGAATAACGAAAAGACAGTAGCAATAAGACGTAGAGAACATACCAATGCTGTGTTATTAAGTGAAACTCCATTAGACAATAATGAAATATTCGAAATTGTTATTCAAGAAACTGCCTCTGAATGGAGTGGTTGTTTAAAAATAGGAGTTATAAGCAATGAATCTGGTAATTGGTTGAAACCTACCAATCGTGTACCTGATATAACTTCTATTCCAGCAAATGCTTGGTACTTAACAGGCAAGTATAAAATTTACAATTTCTATTATCTTAATAAGTTTTTTTTTTCCTTATAAATAAAGAGTCAAACAGATTTAATACATACGATCGATTGGAATTATTTAGGAAATGAAGTAAGACATTCGGGATGTGTCCTTTGTCCAAATTATTGCCCAAGCTTGGAATGGCTTTGCGTTGGTGATAAAATTGGAATGAAACGAACCCATGATGGCAATTTGAAGTTTTATATAAACGGAGAAGATATGGGTATAGCGGCATCTAATGTGCCTGAAATGGTATATGCAATTATTGAACTTTTTGGAAGTACTGTTGCAATAAATATTACAAGTAACAAACATCAGAATACGGCAATATCTCCCAATGCAAGTTTGAGATTACAGGATTCGTTGGAATTATTGTTAGATCCCATGCCACCTGTTATAAGAAAGTAAGTTATATTTGATAATTATCGAATGATATTTATATATACATATATATTTTTTTTTATTTTTTTTTATTTTTTTATTTATAGTGATGCAGGAATGGATACATCGATCGATATATCCGAAGGAAAATTAGCTAATGATA